ATTGTAATATTTCACACTATTATTGTTTTTACTGTATTTTTTAATCAAATAAATGCAACTTTGGTGAGAATAAGAGACTATTTTCAAAAACGTAAAAATCTGACCGACCTCAAACTTTTGTTTAGTAATGTACACTTTTAAAAAAAAATTCAGCGGCTTTCTGAAATATTTTCTAGAGGTTAAATCAAACCCTATGGCACTGCTGTCTCTTCAATCATTCTTCAGGCTCTGTTTAGTGACTAGCGCTGCAGTTCCCTGATGTCCGGCACAACATAATTAAAAATGAAGTTGTCAGAATGAGTGATGTAGATCCTGCCTCTGTGTGTGTGTGTGTGTGTGTGTGTGTGTGTGTGTGTTTGTGTGTGTCCCAAAGCTCACGTTCATGTAAATTAATGAGCTCTGCCTCTAATCTGGCCAGCTAATATCCAGAATGGATGTACCAACATGATCAAGACATTATTACAGGAGTCTATAGGGAAGTATTGTATGTTTGCACTAGATTTGACAGATGTCTCAGGCTGCGCTCAGACTTTGCAGGGCTGACATACATTTATAAAGCGGCAATGTGGCAGCAATTTTGGGTTCTGCTTCATTGAAAACATGTTGCTTGTTTCCTTTCTAAATCCCGGAACATCATTGAGGTTTTGAAAGGTTTTCTTTTGAATGTTTTGCCTTTTTTCAAGTGAATTTCATGCCCAATTGCTCTGCAGGAATTGCCTTTAGTTTGCTTGTTTATGAACAGAGATTGTAATGATTTTTTTTTGGCCTGGAAGAAAAGGAGGTTCATGGCTGGTGCGGATGCAGAGAAAGGAAAAGAAGCAATCGCAGGGAAATGTGCTCTGCTTCAGTAATTTAACAAAGTGAGACGTACTGTACTGTCTATCTAGATGCTCAAATGTATGTGTAGGTTTTTTCTGGCAAGTTTCAAACCATTTCAGAGGGTTAATATTGCTTTGTAGATGCTCACATCCAGAAGATGTTAAGATTTCAAGAGGATTTCTGTGCTGAATATTTGATTTTGCTAAACAAAAATGAACACAACATTTTACAAACACTTTCAGAAAAAAGGTCATTAGGGTGGTATCCTTTTAAAAGGCACTAATATGTACACTTTAGGTACTAACTAATATGTGCTTTTAAAGTACTAATATGTACCTTTAATGTACTTTAATGTACTAGGGGTAAATAAGATACAAAGATGTACCTCTTAGCTTGTGTACCGTTGTCAGGATTGGACCTGTTTTGTCATGTGTTTCAGTTCCCGTTTTGCCTTATTTGGTCCTTCCTGTTTCCATTAGGTTCCCTGATTAGTTCATCATTTGTTTCCAGCTGTGTTTAGTTAATTATCCTCATTTCCCTGTGTACTTAAATCCTAGTCTGTTCAGTTTGTGTTTGTCAGGTCTACTCGTTTTCTATATGTTGGCTCAAGCGCCCATTGTGGATTATCTCCTGTGTTTCTTGATTAAAGACTGTTAAACGTTTCCTCGTGACTCCAGCGTGTTCCCTCAACAGCATAGCGTGACAGAAGACCTGACCCAAAACAGTAACCTCCGTGTGTCTACACTCCGCTTTGTTTCCCGTTTTTACCCAATGTCTTTTTTTTCCGTTGTTCCCTCATGGATGCCCTCCTTCACCCGGAATATCTCCTCCTCCTGCTGGAGCAGGGGGAGAGATCGCTCAAGGACCATACTAGATCGTTCCAGCTGCTAGCTAACACCACCAGCTACCCGGACGACGTGCTCTGTGCGTTCTACGACGCAATTTTAAACAGCGCCGTCGTCTGAAGATGGTCCTTGAGCGGATTTCACCACGTTTGTGGAGTGTATTCTGGCGAGAAACGGATCGCTCCGGACCCAGAGCCCAGCCCACCATCTTCCCGCTGTGTGGAACTAAAGCCCGAGCCCACCGATGACGGAGAGCCAATTCCCGCCGCGATCTACGAGCCGGCGACAATGCCCGCCACGAGGAAGAAAGCCGCAGACGGTGTGAGCGCTGAGAGGAGCTCCGCCCCCTGCACCGCGGCTGAGGGTGAGCTGAGTATGGTGCAGCGAAAGTGCCAAAGCTAAGAGGAGAGGACTCCAGTCCCCGAATCCAGTCCAGAACGCTCTCCAGTGCCCGATCCTAGAAATCGCTCTCCAGTGCCAGCTCCTCGTAAGCGCCCTCAAGTGTCCGCTCCTCCTGAGCGCCATCCTGTTCCCATGTTCAGCCAAGAGGGGGCTTCCGATCCAGAGTTAAGCTCTGAATGCCCGGAGACGCACAAATGCCCGCCCTCCCACCTGCTCATGCCTCCTCCACCGCTGTTGTCTGGCAGCCCCTCTGCTCGCCCTCAGCCCACCATCAATACGGTGTGAGCGCCGCGGGTCTGCCATCCTCCAGTGTCGCCATGGCTGGAGAATCCCTCACCTCCGCCTCCAGCCTCCGAGGCCCGGACTCCGCCTCGGCCCGTAGACCCAGCGGCTCCACCTTGGCTCCTAGCTCCCTCACCTCCACCTACCCGGACGACGTGCTCTGTGCGTTCTACGACGCAATTTTAAACAGCGCCGTCGTCTGAAGATGGTCCTTGAGCGGATTTCACCACGTTTGTGGAGTGTATTCTGGCGAGAAACGGATCGCTCCGGACCCAGAGCCCAGCCCACCATCTTCCCGCTGTGTGGAACTAAAGCCCGAGCCCACCGATGACGGAGAGCCAATTCCCGCCGCGATCTACGAGCCGAGCAGAGGCTGAACAGAGAATCGCCCCGGATGTAGAGCTCAACTCGTCAGACCAGGTGCGAGAGCCGGCGACAATGCCCGCCACGAGGGAGAAAGCCGCGGACAGTGTGAGCGCGGAGAGGAGCCCACCCCCCTGCACCGCGGCTGAGGGGGGGCGGAGTATGGTGCGGCGAAAATGCCAAAGTGAAGAGGAGAGGGCTCCAGTCCCCGAATACAGTCCAGAGCGCCCTCCACTGCCCGCTCCTGGAAAGCGCCCTCAAGTGTCTGCTCCTCCTGAGTGCCATCCTGTTCCCGTGTTCAGCCTAGAGGGGGCTTCCGATCCAGAGTTAAGCCCTGAATGCCCGGAGACTCACAAATGCCCGCCCTGCCACCCACTCCTGCCTCCTCCACTGCTGTCGTCTGGCAGTCCCTCTACTCGCTCTCAGCCCACCATCATTACGGTGCGAGCTCCTCGGGTCTGCCATCTTCCAGCGTTGCCATGTCTGGAGAATCCCTCACCTCCGCCTCCAGCCTCCGAGACCCGGACTCTGCCTCGGCCCCTAGACCCAGCGGCTCCACCTTGGCTCCTAGCTCCCTCACCTCCATGTCACCCGTCGATCCACCAGCTCCACCGGGCTCCCTCGTCCCTCCGGCTCCGCCTTGGTTGTGCATCGACCCGCCATCGCCTCAGGACTCCGCTCCTCTGGTTGCACCTTGTCGCTCTGTCCCACCGGCTCCGTTGGGCTCCTTCCTCCCGCCAGCTCCACCTTGGTCCTAAGTCGCTCCGGCTCTGCCGCGGATTTCCGGATCTCCGCCTCCACCTCGGTCGCCAGAGCCCTCAGCTCGTTGGCTCTCTGTCTCCACCTCGGGCTCCTCCGCCACCTGCTCCGCCGCCATTGGTCGGCCCCCTGGAGTCGGCGACCATTCCTCCTCCATGGCTCCTCCCTCCGTCGGCTCCACCGTGGGTCGACATTATGGCTGTGGCCTGGGTCCTGCTTGGCTCCTCCTGCTCCAAGCCCATCCTGTCTCCTCCCTGGCTCCTCCCTCCTTCGTCGCTTCCCTGGTCTCTGTCTGCCAGCCCCCTCCCAGGTGTCCGTCCTCCTCCTGAGCCTCCTCCTTAGTTCCCACCCATCCCCTTATTTGGTCCTTCCTGTTTCCATTAGGTTCCCTGATTAGTTCATCATTTGTTTCCAGCTGTGTTTAGTTAATTATCCTCATTTCCCTGTGTACTTAAATCCTAGTCTGTTCAGTTTGTGTTTGTCAGGTCTACTCGTTCTCCATGTGTGTTGGCTCAAGCTCCCATTGTGGATTATCTCCTGTGTTTCTTGATTAAAGACTGTTAAACATTTCTTGTGACTCCAGCGTGTTCCCTCAACAGCGTAGCGTGACAACCGTAGGACACTGCTCCAGTGACAGCTTTATAGCTTTTTTCTGGGAGTGCAAAATGTGGATATCTGCAAAGGTTTTACGTGAAGTGGCTTGACGAGCAGTTTTCTGTCCTGTTAAAACAGGAAGTTGGGCCTGGACTTATTGCTTCATCTCCGTAACCCTCCTGTTCATGCATTTTAATGCATCTGCCAGGCACTTTTATCTAAAGTGACTTACATTTACGGTATACATTTGATAAATCCTTGCATTCCCTGGGAATCTAACCTTTGACCTTGATATTGCTAGCACCATGTCTTACTACAGGAATATGAGTTTTTGAATGGAATTTTTAAAAGGTTTTTTTAAAAACAAATCTGCTTGCTATCACTAGTCATTGAATGGGGGAGGGACCTTCTTATTAAATAAAGTGTTTGATTGGACAAAAAGAGTGCGTGCAAGATGGGTCAGTATTTTTGCTGCTGACTTTAAAGGTTGTTTATTGTTTACTGGTTATTTGACATATATGGTATTGTTATATTGTGTATTATGTAGGGTTGGGCCGATAGACGATGCCAAAAAATAGTTAACATACTGTCATTATAGATGGCCTCAAAAAAGCCACTCAAATAACTCAATTTTGATATTTAAACCTGTGCTGTTTTTGTCACTCACCACTAGCAGTGCTATAAAGAAATAATAAACATTTTTAATATTTGTGAAAAGGCCAACATTAACTCTTCTGTCAAATCAAGTGCACATATAAGAGGAGCTCTTAATATTCTCAGCGTTAGAGGTTTTTCTCAATCAAATGTTTCAGCACTGTATGGTTTATATGACACTTCCATATTGCTTGAACGTTCATCTAAAAGCTCATCGAGAGATGAATATGAGATTGTGACAGTGTCATTGAAATGGTGTCCTGGTTTCTTTTGTCCCTTTAGGTATTCAGTTCTTCACAATGGAAACCACACTGAACAGGAGAAACTGTCAATACAGAATGACACAGAGTCCCAGGAGTCATGTTTCTGACACAGGCCAGCCTCTGATGAGGAGCATCACTGGAAGGTGCCATTTCTCACCGCCCTGCCTGCAGCTCAGACCCGACCAGAGCCCTTCAGGAGTCGAGTACAAGGAGCTGCACTGAACTGTTTGCTCAAAGAGCTGCTGAACAATGAGGGAAAGAACAATGTTGCCAAAGGTATCTGGTCTGTAATTTAGGATACGAATTTCCATTGCAAAGGAATGTTGGTAAGGGTTTTCCCAATGTGTTTGTTTCCTTTTTGGTTCTCCTGGGAATACGACTTCCACACCAAAAACACGTCTTTCAAGCTTTATCCAGAGTGGCTTCTATTAGCTCTACAGTCAGGATAACACTTCCTGAAAGCTACGGCACGAATGCTGAATAGCTAAGATGACACTCTATTAAAAGAAAGATTTATTTTTGTTCTATAAATGAAAAAATAAATTCACAAGTTCACACCACAGTATTAAGAGGTAGAGCTGGGAGCATTGCTGAGCGATTTCTCCAATTTTTTATTTTTTATTTTTTTTATTGTTTCATTAATTAATTCTCAAATCAACAGTTATAATATAGCATTGTCACATGGATTTAAAATTTTAAGTGTTAAGGACAACAGGCAATTCCAGCATTTAAGTGCAACACAAGTAATGCTGCATAAAATTTCTATTACTACAGCCTATTTCAAAAATGTATGGAAGGCCGTTTCCGCCACTGGATAAAACAAAAGGTAATTTTGAATTTTTATCTCACAATACTGACTTTTTTTCTCAGAATTGTTTGATAGAACCTCGCAATTGCAAGAAAAAAAAACGGAGAATTGCTCAATTTAAAATCGCAACTTTATATCTCGCAATTCTGACTTTATAACATGCAAATGCATGTGAAGTCAGAATTGTGATATATAAACTTGCAATTGTAAGAAAATATCAGTCTTTTTGCCCCTCAGAATTGGACTTTATGACTCGCAATTGCGAATTTACATCTCACAATTCTCAGAAAAGACGTCAGAATTGCGAGAAAAAAGTCAGAATTGCGAGATCAGTTCTCACATTTCTGACTTCATTTCTCAGAATTATACTTTATAACACGCAATTGCAACATTATATCCAGTAATTCTGGCATTATAACTCGCAATTGCGAGTTTATATCTCACAGTTCTGAGAAAGAACAGAGGAACACAAAAGTCAGAATTGCAAGATGTAAACTCGCAATTGCAAGAAAAAAAGTCTGAATTTTTAAGATAAAAAGTCGCAAATATTTTTTTTTATTAAGTGGTGGAAACAGACTTCCATAAAAATATGCCCCAAAATTGTTCAAAATGATTTAATAAAAACATTACTTTTAAAACTTTTTAGATTCAAATGAATCATCCTTATACAAAGGATTTTTGTCAGGAAATTAACTTTTGTTTTCTTCTAGCCATGAAATCTGCTTTGACGAAAACATAATAGCTCCATTTTCTTATTGTGAACTGAAATCTCATTTATGTTCTGTAAGACTTCTGAAACTCTTTGGGGAATGAGATGTACTGCTCACAGGCTAGCTGATGTAATTTAGCTCCTTGTAAACCACTCTGAATACGCAGATGTCTCAGACTCACGGGTGACCGTTCTCAGTCAGGTCAGATCTGCGCTTCACATGCATCACTAAATGCAGCCATTTCCACGATAGTTTCCACTGCGAGGATCTCCTCTAATGTGATTCACTGGCATAAACAGCGCAGTGTTTTTCTGAGAGCGCTAAAACTACATGATGCCTGCTGACTGAGAATGTGTCAGGCCACTCCAAACAAAAGCTTTGCTGACAGCAACCAGGGCCAGTTCTCCCAGATGCTGTGTCTTAAAATGTTTTAGCTTTAGTAAAGATGACCGCAAGACTGAAATGTTTGAAAAGAAATGACCTGAAGTTGTTCTTGCAAAAGTTCTTAAAGGGATAGTTCATCCAATAATTTACTTTATATTTACTTTTTTTGTTATTTATTCACCCTCATGTTTTTCTAGTGTTATATGCAAAATATTTTAAGTGAATAACAACTTAAGGTACGATCACATTTACTGACGTGCAGTGAATTTTTGCAGGTGAAATCCAGTCATTTCAATAGGAATCCACACAATTGAGAATTTCACATAAAGGTGAAAGATTTTGCGTCGGGTTTTAAGTTGGTCAAGCAAATTTGCCGCATTGACCAACAGAAATCTGCTTGGTTTGAAAGTGACTTCTGTGTGAGCTGTGCTTCAAACATTTCTACACTGTTGAAAATAGACAGTCGAGAAAATTTAACCTGAATTTCTCGAATCGAACTATTTTAATGTGAGGAAATACAGCACGAAACACATTTTTGTAAAATATATGTTTTGCTTTTATTTTTATTGGTTCCTTATGAAGTTTGACATGCTGAATACAAAAAAAAATCACATTATTTTCTTGTGTATCATTAACATTGCTCATGAAAACTAAAAGAAAAAATGTTGACAAATTATTCAAGCTAATCTGCTATTACTCATGTATAAAAATGACATAGTACATGCATAATAACAGTTTAACATAAACATTTAGATTGTTTGTCTTTTATGACTAGTCCCGCAATGTTCTGGAATGTTCCTGAAAGCACTAGAATATCACAAAAAATTCCAGAATGTTACAGAAACTTCTAGAATGTTCCCATCCTTGCAAAGTAACCTGAATTTCTCGAATCGAACTATTTTAATGTGAGGAAATACAGCACGAAACACATTTTTGTAAAATATATGTTTTGCTTTTATTTTTATTGGTTCCTTATGAAGTTTGACATGCTGAATACAAAAAAAAATCACATTATTTTTTTGTGTATCATTAACATTGCTCATGAAAACTAAAAGAAAAAATTTTGACAAATTATTCAAGCTAATCTGCTATTACTCATGTATAAAAATGACATAGTACATGCATAATAACAGTTTAACATAAACATTTAGATTGTTTGTCTTTTATGACTAGTCCCGCAATGTTCTGGAATGTTCCTGAAAGCACTAGAATATCACAAAAAATTCCAGAATGTTACAGAAACTTCTAGAATGTTCCCATCCTTGCAAAAGCAAAATACATGCAAAATAACTACAAAAACTCATCTGTACTAAACCGATGTTTCATAATGAATGAGTTCTAAAATTAACCTGACCTAAATATTTACCAAAATATTGATGCTACACAATGCTGGGTTAAATACAACCCAGTGCTGGGTAAAATAGGGACAAACCCAGCAATTGGGTTATTTTGAACCAGTGGTTGGGTTACTACCCAGAAGGTTGGGTTAAACATTTAATCAAACCGCTGGGTCAAAACAACCCAATTGCTGGGTTTGTCCCTATTTAACCCAGCACTGGGTTGTATTTAACCCAGCATTTTTTAGAGTGTATGCGAAAATAAATAGTACACTAATAATCAGCACCACAGAATTACAGAAGAAGCATAAAAAAAATTAAGTGAAACATTTAAGTGATATTCCATCGAAGAAATGAAGTCCAGGTTTGGAGTGACACGAGGGTGAGTAAATAAAGAATTTGTATTTTTGGGTGAATTACCACTTTAAGAATATGTCACGCAAATGATTCCTATATAAGGAGAGGTAATACAGCTGCTGCAGAATGTTGTCCTGAGAAAACAAATCTCATGGAAAAACCATGCAGATTAAGTTTTGTTCTTCTAACTGAAACCTCCCAAAGCAGTGATGTCCCATACTAAAGCTTGCTTCCAGAGCTGAGGACCCCGATAAACACGCTCCTCAGAGAGCCTGGATATAGCAGAACTGACCCAGAACAATCTCCATCCCTCATTCCAGCACTTGCCAGTCTACTGAAGCGTGCCTCTGCCTAAAATGAATTACCTTCGGGAACAGCAATTGTTTGAATTGATCGAAGAGATGTAAATATTTTCAAAATTACTACGTTTTATGTGTCAGCCATCAGAAAAACAGGTTTGGTCCTAATTGCTATATTGCAGGGATGTACTGACAGCAACACACGCACGCCACTAAAAATGAAACATGTACAGCTCAGCACTGTCCTCATGCATCAGTTTCCTGATTTTAAAATGAAAACCTCTCTTGCAAATAAAGCACTTGTAGCACTTTTACAATACGAAGGTTATTGCATCCACAAGTCGTTCAGTATTCTGGTCACGAATATGTAATCGCAGACCAAACCGATATCATATGAGGAGTATGAAAGTTGAATTTCGTGATCAGTTTTAATAAGCGTAATCATTCCGCTGTGGTGATGTGATGAAGGAACAAATAAGACACTATTATTTGTTCCAATGCGAACAGAGCTAGCTACATTACCTAGCTCCATGCCCAGTTTAGCTTCTCATGTTTTATCAACCGATATTTAATTTCTAAAGGTAGAGCTTAGTTTGATTTTATTGTGCATAGGAATATATTTTTATGCAAATTATTTGATAGTGGTCCGTGTGTTCCTTTAAATGCTTTAGTCGAACGCGTTTCTTCTTCCAGTCTGGTGTATCAGCGAACGCTGACCATGAATCTAGCGTGTCATTGGAAGCAATGTCCAAATAAGTTGTTTTTTTACAATCAAACATGTACATGGTCGTGCCTTCACAGCTATCTTACAGATGTACAGAGCATTGTGAAACTGTGCAAGTTCGTGCTGGTAGTGGTCGAAAATGTTTCCTTTAAAGAGGTTATATATTGTACAATCAAAGGCAAACTCAGCTCTGATGAAAACTATTTCATTTGTACACTTTCAGTTTATGTAGCACCTTTGAATTCTGAGCTACTTTGCCGTTGTTTAACAGTAAGCGGTTTTGTTGGTCGAACAACTTGCACAATTTCCCATCTGTGTTCTTTGGATGTCATTATTATGTTGTTTAAAGATGGAGATTTTGCAATGGTTGAAGCTTAGGAGCCGTGAGCAGAAAACAAGAAATACATGCTGTTTTGAGCGCCGATGGATGTGGAAGGAAGGATTTGGGGGAATGCTGGTACTCCATAGCCATGACAGAACCAAAAACACTGCTACATGAGCCCTGAGTTATTGCTTTGAAAAGATTTGCATCAGAAATAACTCTCCCTGAACCTTCATGGACCTTCAGGGTAGTCATTACCGTCAGGATTTCATGCGAAATGATGCAAACCTCACATATGAAGCGTGATCGAACACCTCGAGGCCCTGAAGGCAGAAGTTCTAAGCATGAATGTGTTGTAAATCTCCCAACAAGTTGTAGAACTTTTGTAAACTCAGTATTTATTTTGGTGGATTTCAGATTGATATTTTCATGTAAGGCTTCTCTTTCAGGGAGCTACGTGTATTACTTTTTCTGTTGCTATGTGACAGCTCTAAAAAATAATAATTAAAGACTACGAGATGTTATTAATTCTTATGTGTTTTGTGTTTTATCAAAATATCTCGCCAGATTTGCACACTAACAAACATACGGTCAATCAAAATCAATCCTTGTATATTCTATTTAAAGATGATATAGACAGATCATCATGAAGCAGAATGATATTTTTGGATACATTTGTGAAATCTGACAGTGATTATGAGACGAGTAAAACTCTTCACCACATGCCCTCTCTTCTTTTGACAGATATGATCCACTCGTAGGGGAAAC